ATATCTTCTTCCAGAAAACCGTTTCGCAGATATGGATAACAGATTTGAGTTTCCCATACCCAACTTGTTAGTATGGAATATATCTTGTTCTGAATGGCCACTTCGAGTAAAAAGCATTCCCTTGTAAGAAATATGCTGGAACACATCTGTTAAATATTGCAAAAATCTGTAATTATTAACAGATAGTAGTGGAAAACAAAGTTGACTTTTACAAAGCAGGCAACTATAATGAAATTTTATTTAATGGAAAATTTTATATATGAAAGGTGTAAAATGTTAAAATATATCTCAAAGGTGATAGTGAGAGGCCTTATATACAAGATCCGTTTATTTGAATTCTTAATGCTTATTGGAAATATGGGGTATGCATAGTGCACCTCTATGACATGTGAGTTGGAGGTTCTCATTTTTGAACGGCAAAGGTTAAACCACGGTTCACTTTCGGTGAGCAGACATAGGTGAAACTTAAATCGTTGAAATGGAGATTAAAATACAATTTGAATGAAGTAAAGGTTGATGAGATCAAATTGAATTTTTCTTCTTAATTTTTCATTTTATGCTCAACCTTGCAGAAAACAGATGTCATAACTGCGGACAGATGGCCATGCGGATGCAAGGTGTAATAAAGAGTAGTATGGATATAGTTTTGGTAAATTATTAGGATACAGTATCTGAGATAATTGGTTAACCAGAAAAAAAAACACCAAACTTCCGAAATTTGTCAATGTTTCGCTCTACTGTCATCAGTCGTAGGTAAGCCATCGTCGAAAGCCAAATAACTCATATCCCATGATTATGTACTTTTATCTCAGACCTCATGGTGTTTAATCGTCTTTTTCTGAGTTTTGGTCAAATCACATTTCCCCGCTTAAAATGCCCTTGTAAAGATGGGCTCAGGTGAATTTTACACATTCTTTGAAACACACTAGGAGTTTCAGGCGTAGAGCACAGTTTCTAACCTTTGTTTGCCTTCTATACTGCTTTAACAGCTTTAAAATTACTACATGCACGTTTATCATACAAAAATTTGCTTCCAAAAAAGCAGGATTGAAAATTTGCTTTATGGAAAACTCCAAGGAAAAAATCGAAGGAAGTTTACCGAATGTGCTATCAAAATGGCCGTTATTTTGAACTGAGTTTGAAAATTTAGGTAGTAAAATAGCGTCTTTTTGTTCTTACATCTTTGTTTTTCGGATTGCTCCACTTTGCCGGGTGGCAATTTGTGGATTGTCTCTTGATAATTCATAATCTCAGGTAATTTAGCCCACAATTTCCTCGGTAAAAATATTTGAGGCTAGATGCATATGTCCTGATAGAATATTTCACAAGAAATCCGATGTACTAAATTTTAAGAAATTTGGTTTAGTGACAAAGTTATGGAGAAAAAACGGAAAAAACGCGGATCCGTTTTTTGACGAACAATGACCGTGGTTACTGTACCGTTCGCTTACACACGTTCCGTTAATCATAAACAACTGAGAGCTGACAATGAGCTGTAAATGTAATATTGCTTAGAGGTCTTGCTCTTGCTATCCACATCCCCTTGGAGCTGTGAGGACATTTCTCATTTTCAGTAGGTATTATCGGTGTTAGCGCGCTTTGCTCCGTATTTTTTTTAAATGTTGGCTAAGAGCAGTATAAGATTAGTTTAATAAGAAATATGCTTTTACTTCAAGTTGAAATTTGGGTGTGAAACATTTAAGGCGTTTTCAGCACGGTAATTTGTGTCTGGAAAATTTAAGGTGTTTTCAACATGGTTAAGTTCTGAGTGGGTCTTGTGGCCGTTGCCGCCATAGTTCCTAGCAGCCCAAGAATGGCTACTGCTGCTACTGCTGCTGCTGGCACTGCCGCTACTGCCGCTATATGAATATGAAAAGCTATTCCCAGAAGTATGGCTGCCACTGGTGCCCATGCCGATAGTAGGGACATAGAAACGTGCTTTGGAAAGATCAGTGTCTTTGGTGCCATGGGCGATAACAGGGACATATTTGCCATCGAGAGCACGGGTGTCCTTGCTGCCTATGCTGACAATAGGGACATAGTACTTATTTTTGCGTCCATTATTGCCACTGTTGCCAAGGGTATCACTTGGACCATAGCTGCCACCGTGTCCATAGCTGCCAGTGGAGACAAAGTTGGTACCAGAACTGCTGATGAAGCCATTTTGTGGAGTAGCTAAACAGGTTTTAAAGCGACTTTTCTCGACAAAGTTTTACCTTAATGAACTTACCAATGCTGAATTCGACTAAACTCAAAAAAATCTAAATAGCTTAAAATTATGCCGAAAAATTTCATCATTGTGGAAATACTTACCGCAGTGATGGGTATAAGCACATTCATGTTGACTTTCACAGGAAATTGCTGAGTAGTCTTGCTTAAAATTTAGAGTTTAAAAAAGTAGGCATCCTTTTTATATGAAGCTGATTGCGGAAATTGAATATATAATCGACATATTTCAAAAAACTCTCTAAAATCTCTCGCACCATGCATATCATGAAATGAAGAAGCTAGAAATAGTATTTTGGGTATGGACCGT